GATACTTTATTAGCTCATATATATATTTATTATTATTATACATATTATATTAGTTTAATTTCTCTTGGGCCTAGAATTAATGGATGTCTAGGACTGTATAGAGCGAGGCTGGAGCTCTATATACTTTTATAATTAGAATTTTTAGAACATTTTTAGTTTGTTATTTCTAGGCAAAAATAACTGATGGTTAAATATTCTACCCTATTGAAAGATATTAGGAATTTTGAAATAGCAATAAGTCTTGTAATTTAGCCTGACAATGGTATGTAAATAATTGTTAAGCATGCTAAAAAGAATTTGGAATATCTGTAAGTCACGACTATAGCCTAGTACTGGCAGGTTTAATAAGTACTGTGCATGATAAAAGAAAGAAAACACAATACTCAAAATAATTAGGAATAGAGTATATATCTTCATATCACTATACTTATTTCTACGATAATACGTTAAAGCTTAAAACATTTAGTATAATCAATTGAGTCACATGACTTTCAAGATATTATACTATAGAGTCAAGAATCAACATTTTTTTAAAATCTGATATTAAAAGAAAATTCAGACTAGGTAGTCAGTGTTCTAGCAACTGGTTAAAAATAGAAATCATTACTTATCACAACCTCAAGTACTTCTTGAAAATAGCGAATTTTTCTACAAATTTTACAAGAAGTCAAAAAAAAAATAATTGAAATTCCAAAGTAAATTTTATATTATCAAGAACAATTTACTTTACAAACAAGACTGAAGAAAACAGAAAAGCCACCAATTACTTAAAGTAATCCAAGCACATGAAGTGGAACCAATCCTTTATTTAATGAACAACCATTCAATTGAAGCACATCTTGGAACAGATATCAGAAAAGAAAAAAATATCAAAATCTGAACTTTATCAACTGATTTCTGTAGAAGCATCTTTTCATCAAATTGGAATAGATTTTATTGGACCTTTATCTACTACTACTCAACAAAACCAGATATAGTGATACAAATTTTGCTAAAATTAGAACAAAGAATTATTTAATGTTTATTACAAACAGAGTAAACATAAATAAAAACACAAAAGAAACATAGATCAAACAAAAATTAGCCACCAAAAGTATGAAACAATATGGGTTATACAGATTACAAATTAAGTGTACCCAAAATTGTTTGGCATAGAAGTACAAAGAATTTTTTTTAGCAAATATAACAAGACTAAAGAAATAGCTCTCTTGATTTTATCTACAACTTGGAAACAAAACTATTCTAATAATAATGAATAACAATACTATTTTTTTGGATCTTCTAAATACTGTACCTATCTTTCCAACTATTATACCTTGTCCAACCAATGAATCTCAAGACCTACAAGAAAGAATAATTACCACATATAGAAAACTCCTTAGGACTAACAGTTCCCAAAGACAAAAACAACTTGTTTATGCTTATTATCTGGGAGAATTATTAGAAGAATATCCAAAAGAGTGAAAAACAAGTAGAAGAAAAATTTCTAATTATTATTATAGAGTTTCAATTAGAATATATAATATTTTTCATGGATTAGGAGTTGAACAAATCTTTAGGACCAATATTATTACACTTTCTATGATTTATAGTTTCTCAAGCTCTGATTATCATGCTTTATTTTAATTTTCGCGGAGCTCAAAACTAAGTGGGGAAGAATGTTGACATTAAAAGTTTCACATTTTCGATCATAACTTTTGATGTACCAGACCAATTTGGATAAAACAACCACCATTGGATTCAGCTCACTGAGCCAGTTCTAAAGAGTACAAGATCATGTGATTTTGATTACTGGATCCCGAGATCGGCAAAGATTTGTGAAATTAGCAATTTCATCAAACACATGACTTGATTCTGATTGG